AGAGAGAGAGAGAGAGAGACAGAGACAGAGACAGAGACAGAGAGACAGAGAGAGAGAGAGAGAGAGAGAGAGAGCGAGAGACAGATAGCAACATGTAAAGAGAAAGAGACAGAAGCCACTCACAAAGTAACACAGAAACAGTGTCAAACATAACCCATAAACCCATCAGAACAAGAATTAAGAGAACAGTCCTGTAGTAATCCGGTTCTTACCGCTGGTCATTCACTCACTCACTCAGTCCACCCACCCACACCACCACACTACGAGCGAACGACCGACCATATCCACCACTGACCATCACTACCACCATCAGTCCAGTCAGTCTGTCCGTAACGACCAAATCAAATCCGCATATGGTCGCTTTTAAAGAAATCGGGCTAACACATATTATTTCGAGGTTTCCAGAAATCTTGACCTACACCAAAAGTGGGCATTGCCCTTCCTATAGGAGAAGTTTGGTTTCACTGGTGTGTATATTTGTTTGGTTCTAGAGAAAACTCTCCTTGTCTTTTAAAGAAACCGAACAAGGGGGACAAACTTTACCTTCGATTTTCTCAAAACGGGATTTTTCGGGAAAGCCCCCTTGCGCTTAAAAGCGACATAAAATCGTCTGGTGCGAGCGAACCACCGACCATATCTTACCACCACCATCAGTCCAGTCAGTCAGTCAGTCAGTCAGTAACGACCAAATCAAACCGGCATATAACATATAACCGTTGGGTTAGAAATTCCCCCAAAGACAGAGCGACTATGCCCGCATGGGGTCTCTCAATTCTCCCATAAGTGTTGAAATAATGGCGTAATTTCCAGCCCCCTTTCTACCGGGATTACCCGATCTGACGTAAGCGACGAGACTTGTCCACAATAACTACAGTCCCACAGCCCAGCGGGAGGCCACACTACACCACACCACTGTCGTCATGCCAAAGATCGTGTATGTACGACGTGTAGAGAATCTTTGGCCACGCTACCTCCCTCTAGAGGTGGGCATCAATGAAACATCATCCGAATTCAGACTCTTAACTCTCTCTCCTGACCCGTTCACCGAAGCGGGAGCACCCTATTGTTGAAGTAGTGCTAACCCGTTTGACAAAGTGGTTCTAACTCATTTGCCGAAGCGGTTCATATCATATTATTTGCCGAAGGGGTGCACTAACTAATTCTCCGGATTCTGCTAAAGCGACTCATTGCCCAGCCCTACCTCCCTCCACGACACGACACGAAGGTCTCCCCCCCCCCCTGATCTGCCCAAGCCCAACACGGGGGAGATTGTAAAAGTTAGTAAAAGTTTTTACGCCCCTATCGACATAATTTAGATCAGTTACACGTCCATGGACCATTTAGAACCTGCAGGATTATTAACGACCGTGGCTACACCGAGGAAGGCTTGGCTGGCTGCTTCCGCATTCTGTTTTATGAGGGCTGCTGAGAGAGATGAGGTAGTGCTTGATGAAGCCCACGTGGGACGCTCAATGTTAAAAACAATCAGGAAACGACAAATGCAGTTTTTGGGACACCT